ACAAATTTATTAACTTCTACCAAAATTGTTTTCCTTTCCGGCGTTGTGTGTTGGGAATGCTCAAACATCAAAATAAATATAATTACAAAACTATATGCTGTCAAAGAGCATGAAATAGAATACAATTTTTCGTATTTATGGTACCACCTACTGTGTTCTGATTGCTTTGATTTAAAACGAAGGTTTTTGCTTAAAAAACTTGGTTACTCCGGTAGTCTATAACCAAACGCGTTTGGGCTTAATTGATCCATTTTTTTATGCAAATCGTAGACATTTAGAATGACACAGCAGAAATCCAAACAAAGTAAGTATCTCCTTTAGGTTGGACAATTGAACACAAGAAATGCTACATCTAGAGAAAACAATCGTTAAAGATAACCAATGTTATCCATTAATCACGCACATAATAACATTTTTCATGTGGGCTATGATTCATTTTTATAAACGTTAGTGCCGTCGAATACAAGCAAAAGGTTCTTAGGTCATAAATACTTGCATAAAGCCTATGCTAAAAGATACGCTTGGGAATAGTGCGTATGCGAGCTTTCGTATTTCAAAAATAACAAAAACACCGGTAAGCAAAGTAGAACACTAGACATATTTAAATTTTAAAAATTAAAATATGTACATATCAAAAAGACAGGTATGCTTTTTGTCAAACGTTTTAGGCTCGTCACGAAAACATCGGGCATACACCGTAAGTTTACGAACAATACTTTTGTGATCTTTAGTAGCCCCTCCCAAAACATATAAGAGTTCCCTTCTGCACAACTGTCATATACCGCTTTAATCACTCTACTCACAACACATATTCAATTAATTTCTCTCACCTTACTTGTCAAACATATGCACGCAATTATTTGGCATTTATTTCGTCAATACAATATTTGAAATCATTTAGGCAGCAAATGCTAGGCCTAATTCCAAAATTGATAAGCCTCCGCGTTTCCCCCTAATCGCACACATACAGAATACGTAAAATAACTTCGAGATACAGCAAAATTCGCTCAAAATAAGTACGTAATATGTGCTTATCACACCCAAGACATCTACTAACTCAGCCATATACCACAGGCTAATACACTTTTGGCTCAGAATCGGTAAAGCAAAAGTCGAACAACTTTATTTTTTTACAAACACCACAGTAAAGAAACTTCATCTGCGCCCTTAACAGCTTATACATACGCATAAAAAAGCTCATTGACTAGAAGATACAACCAAGTTTGCTACAATTTTCAACTAGCAGGGGAGTGCAGAGGGAGGCGTTGCTTGGTTAGCTGACAGGGTGTGGGTGAAAAACTCGCCAAGAAAATATTTCCGACGACATCCGCTTTCCGTTCGGAGACGCCGCGCATTGCTGCTGGTGTCAGAAGCCAACGGCGTCCTGGGCCCTTTACCACAGCTAATAAACACACACTCCTTCAATCACAAACTGAGAGAAATTACATGACGAATTACAAGAAATCTCTAATTGAAGTCTGCACTTTATCAATGGCATCAAGGGTGGGTAAAGATTACGAAATTCACCCGAATCGACTTTTTTGTCAATTATATTGCAGCCTTTTAATTAATAATTTAAATATCAATACCAGACAGTTTGAACATAAATTACGGCTTTTCCAAACAATTTCGTAAAAGCAATTAAAGTCAAACTATAGTCATGGCTTAGTACTCTGGCTTTGGAATTTTTTGATAGTAAATTCTTTAATGGAATATGCAAAAAAGCAGCATAATACAAGTTTGCAAAAAGAATAAATAAGCAACACATTCTAGTTCAATCAATTTCTATCGGCTAAAGCTACCCAGCCCACACGTTCGATACATTTTTGTACATTTTATTATTCACAATTTCTATCGATATGCCATAAAAATGTTTAAATTTCTCGTTCCCACTACTATTAGCTGAGTAACGGGTATATGATAGTCGGGGAACTCGATTATAGCGTTCTCCCTTGATTTTACTTGGTGTCGCTTTGGGTAAAAGCAACTGGATCTCACAATTACAATTGTAAAGACAAGTAGGACATCAATGGTACTTTATTCGAAAATAAATGAAAACAAATCTTTTTCACTTTGTAATCGAAACCAATTACGCCCTTAATGTTGGCTGCTGTCCTAAGTGAAAAGCTCAGAATACAGCACAGCCAAATTAAATAAGTAAACTAACATTTTATTGTGCACGGGAAGGGTAGGAGGGTTCATCAGCATCGTGCGTACATATATCACATAAGAAAAAAAGAGTACTGAAAAATGTTTCAAATTCGCTGTCATACTAAAAATTATACTCAAATTTACATATGCACATACATATGTTCATATATATACATATATGTTCAGATTAGCCCGCCCGGAAACTTGGGATGAGTTTTCATGCTGACGTGGTTGTTGTTATGTCTGAAGCAAAATTTTTCGAATAGATATGCTGTAAGCAATAGATATGCCTGCACCAAGGATATGCATATATTGCATATATATTATCAAGTTTAAAAAAGACATGCCAAAATCTATCGGCTAGCGATTTGACTGCGCCTTTTGCAACACACTGTATAATCCTTTCACCTATTTCTATACCTGGCACTCGTGTAGTAATACGTTGGCTAGGTAAATAAGAATTGTATTTAAAACCTCCTTTAATTTAATGGTCTTATAAAAGTCTCCAAAATAGAAACGGTAACAGGTATCAATCTTTTTTTCGTTTCAAACTAGGGCATCACAGTTCTCACGGAAAATAAATTGGATTAGCTTGTTTGGTGTACCGGTTGCTGTGATGGAAATCAAAGAACTAACGCGAAAGGGCAAGTATTGCAGTGAAGTAAGAAGAAACAAAATCATATCATACCACAGACCCTTACCTACAGAGTACCCCGCAGCTTTCCTTACGGAAAATGTCGCTGACCGGCTGTTTTGTGTATCTAATACTTTTCCTAGGTGTTGAGGGTTATAGGTGAAAGTGATGCTGAAATTCCCACATTACATGACCAAACGGAACTCGGAAAACTTGATGAGGTATTGTGCAACGTGCGGATGCTTATTTGGATAGATGAAAACCGTAACTGACTTTTGCATGCCTAGCTTAGCTGACAATCTTCGGAACGCAGCGAACACTTGAAAAGAGTTGCACAGGGAGTACTGTGAAAGGTACTACTGCCGCTCCACATTCCCCCATAAATTAAATGTCCTTTTGACGTGAACACTGTGACATTCAAATTTTTCCGCGGCAAGGTTAGTTATGCTTTCGACTGCAGAATCCTATAGCATATGGTGCAAAATTATATTTACAAAAAACTGTACTTTTTAATTGTATTATTTTTCTATTATTTCTTGCCTCCTATCAACATGCCAAAATATTTTTACCCACTTACACTTTTAAACCGCAAATAGCTGTCATGGCTACAATTTTAAAATTGATTTCAATTAATTTTTTTTTATTATGGCAAATGAATTTTAATTTAAAAACCCTTGCAATTTTCCCTTGAAATTTATCTGCCACTAGTTGGGTAACGGGTACCTGATAGTCGACGAACTGGACTATAGCGTTCTTCCTTGCGATATATGTATTTATATATTTTGTCCCTCGGCTCGACAATTGTATTTCTTGCCGTTCTTCCAGTTACTTCTTTTACGCAAATAGACCCTTGCCCTTTTTCCTCATATATTTTGTTTTTTTGGGGCGCACATGAAAATAAAAGTACGAAATACTGTTCGTATCATCGAATCGAGTAAGAGTTTCTGATTTTAGCTTTAAGTGGGCATATGTATAAGTAGCCTTCGTGCTCAAAGCTGGAGGAGCTTAAAACTCGTTATTGCCTTCAATGCAAAGCAGCTTGTCGATTTTTTTATTCATTCACCCTCTCACGGTCACGGCATATTTCTAAAAGCTAAGAGCCGAATTATTCGGGATCTGCATTGCTTGGGTGGATTTACTTCATCGGCTGTTTTAACTTTTCCTTTTAATTTTAAAGGTTTTGTTTTTAACGTTTGAAGTGTGGTATAATAGTCGAACTCCCCTAACTTCACCACTCAGAAGCGTTTAGCACCATACATATGTACATAAATAAAGCATTACAACAAAAGACTGTATTTATGTATAGTTGAACTTTAAATATATTGAGCAAGAATTCATAAAAAGATTAAGCACATATGTACATACAATGATTTCATAATAAACTCAACTTTTGCAGTTAATTAAATATTACAACTGCACAAAGTACAGCAACGAAAAACATATTTACATTTAATAAACCTTAAAGGTTTATCAACCAACAAATGCTCTGTGTAGATAATCGCACGGAAACATCTAAATACATACAAATGTATGTACATACGAGTACGTATGTGAAATTATATTCCTTTAAAATAAATATAATCATTCACCTTAGACTAATGGCTAAAAAGTCAAGCACGCAAATTTGTAAATATTTAGAAACATAAGGAAACGTGGTAAATCGGTGCCTTTCATATTGGAAGTTTACAAAATTCTACTTGAGATCAGGCCCCTGGACAAATGGTGGGGAGTCATTTGTTGTGACAAATTAAGGTAACATTGTGAATTTCTTATTTTTTCTATCTGAAAATTCATCTCTATTTGCTTCTCCGTGTTTGTTGCAGATACGACCAGCAGGAATACGTAAAACGCGCTTCCCTTGTCTAATTAATGCAAATTTAATTGCCGCCAGACATTTTAATGAAACTGAAACATACCAAGCAGCGATTCGTTGGCGGGAGGGCCTTTTAGCATGGGGGGTGGGTAATATTTTGTATAGCTCAAGACACTGGGCACATTACAAACTCATTGGGGTCAGAACGAAATCCACGAATTGCTGAGTCTTCTGTGCTTTTGAAAACTCACAAATAGTAAGGCTAGCTGTATTATTTGGCAGTAAGCACAAGAATTTCATTATCAAATGCCGGATGACTGGCACGTTTTAAAGTAATCACTTATTAAATGTCACTTTAGATATCCGAGGAGAGCGGGAATTGCTCAAAAGTTAGTACACTACCGTTTTAATCCCTTTAATTTCAATGCTTTAAATATTTTTCCTCCTCTTTCCGCTATTGATAAATATTTCTTGCTGTTATTTATAGGATTTTCTTTTATTTTGCTGCTTGCTTGCTTCGTTCATTCGGCACTCGTTTCAGTTCCACTTATTTTTATTTCTCGCACAGTGGTTCGCTCTTTCGCGGAACGTGCGAACTTGGGCAGGCACATTAATTGTTTGCACTTTTGAACAATTTTGCCACACTGTTCGCTTCTGCGTGCAAATGTCGCCGATGTCGTTGTTGTCTTCGTTGCAAAAGCGTATCAAAAGAAGAGACGGCTTGCTAAATATCTTAAACTGTTGTTGTTGTTGTGCGCTATTTAAACTCGCGCACATACACAAAGCATTTGTACACACGTATATGTATATAGTAGTAGTTGTATATATATACCAACACTGAACTGCAATTTGACACATACAACGGGGTGAAAAAGAGAGAATAATCTCGTTTTCTTTTCAAAAAATACTTACAACGTTAGAACACCTAATTAAGCGCTTTAAAGCTGTATATTTTTTCTATAGGCTCTGCCTCGGGCTTTAGTCAATCGGTTACGCACGACTAATCGGGTGTGCTCTATGGTTTTGCCGTCGGTCTTTTTTCACTTCCACTGTGTGCAGCTGGTACTCGATCTCGTTATTTATTTTATCTCGCGACGAAACGCCCGCTTGCTTGAGCTCCGAATGTATCGCGGTTTGTTCAGCAAATGAAACGTTTCAGTGCCAAAGCGTTGCGCTGTGGTTGCTATGGAACAATGTGAAATAGAAATGGAACAGATGGTGCACAGTGGGACATCTCCCATACGGTAAGCTGTTAACCATATTTACATATATTTTCAAATATGTGAAGAACATTTCAAGAACCATAACATTTAAAAACATTTGAAAATTCAAAACTTTCTAGCGTGCTCGAAAACAGGACCTTTCGTTTTTAAAGAAAAGAAAGAAATCAATCTTATTTTTATTATAGAAAATGTATAATTGATATTTTTTAAATGGCGTTGCAAAAAGTACAAGAGACGATTTCTAAGAGGAGAATGCTGTGTTTCTAAAAAGCCAATTAAATATGGCCCGTTTCCATACTTAAAATGTGTTTCAATCGTTAACAAGTTTACACCCCACTGTGCAGCGAGATGACGGAGTGGTGGTGGTCGGTCATGTCGGTTTGTTCATTTACCATTCGCTCGTCTCTGGCGCTCTCTGAGCCGAATGTGATGTACAAACAGTGAGAGAACTGGTTGAGTGTGTTGTGTATGTGTGTGTGTATTGCGCCATCGCTCTACGCCTGTTTCTCTCTGAGCAGAGCACATTTCGTTTGTTTACAGTTTTTAGTTTTTGCGCCGTTGGAGAGGAGTATTCGAATTCCCTTCAAGCGAAGAATTTAACTAAATTTGTGATAAAAGTGCAATTCAACTAGCAATGAAGTGCATCACTTTAATTCTATTCTGTTACATTTTTTAGTAAGAATACCACTTCCTTTCGTTCGTTTGCACTAAGTAATCTGAATATTAAATTTTTACTCTTTTATTTATAAATTTTTCTTTTAACTTTTTTTAAATTAAATTTTTGTTTCCAAATAACTTAATAATATATACAATGTAAACATCCAAAATTATTTTGGAAATACTATTTCTGTTTAATATTTATATTGTATGTATTTAATAAAGGGTATACCAATGTCCTCTACCTACACAAGTTTAAAGCTTAGTTGCCCGAAGATGTATATAGTTATTTTGATTTTTCTTTTTGTTTATGTTTTTCATCGTTTAATTGTTTTAAATTGAGATTTGTGTGCCAAAAGCAGCGGTGCAGCAGTAGTGACGGTTTTCATCTTTTCGTTTTTGTGTACAATACATAAAAAAATTAAACAAATTGTGGCCAACGCGAAATAACTGGAAAGTGTATGCATTCAAATATATTATGGGGTTTGTTTAAAAGTTACACTAAATAGGAATCAAAACTTGTATTTGGAATCGTGTCGATTTGGGAGTTGGATTGCCTAGACGAAACAGTTGTTTTTTATAGCTTTCTGTTTCTACTCAGATCGGCGAATTACGTTCGTCAGCAATGAGAGAGAGCAAGACGCATATATGTACATATGTACATATACTCCTATCGCAGAGGTCTTTTCTCATCCAGTTACATACATATATACATATGTACTTGCATAGATCGGCGAAAATACATAAATACCAGAAAATTTCTTCGACGTGCCAACCACCTGAAGTTAAATCTGGGTAAACGTTTGTGTGGCCCAAGAAATACAAAGTAATATCCTTTCAAGATATTACAAATCCTATAATACATATAATACATACAGAAAATATCCCATAACACGTCTTTAGACTTTATGAAATGTATAAAATCTTAGTCAAGGTCACTACCCGAGTATTTCGGGCCATGCCCATAATCATCGAGATCTCGGGAACTTTTATGACTAAAAGGTTGAATCTTTAGGGTCAAATTAAACTTCATCACCAAAACTGATATAAAAAATTTGGTTATTCGTCAGAGCGACTTATTAAGATGTGTGTTTGTCTTATATCAGAAGTTTGTAAAGGACAATGACTTATCACTCTTAGTTTAAGTATACTTGAATACTACGACCAGAACTAGTTTGAATAAACTTAGTATCAGCATATGTATATATGTATCTTGATAAGTACATATAGGTTCTAACGTGCTTGAAGTTGGTAGTCTTGGTGTGCAATTTCACTAGATTGTTTAAATTGATGTTGTATGTACGAACAACCGCAGAAATTTTGTAGTGCTTCGTACTAGTTGCCTTTAAACGCTCCCTGGTGCGATTCGTCACTATGTGCATAGATTGCCGTCCACAGTGACATTAAGTCCAAAACGAATAAGGATATTCTCTAAGCACAAAAGCTTTGACAACAGCTTTGACAATCATACAGTATCAACCGCAACATAATAGAGAACAACACCTACAATACCGCAGCAAAAATTAAAAGAAAAGCCTGAGCAAAAAGCAGCTAGCAAAACTATAAATAGCTCGACAATGTGATAAGGGCACAAATGGAAACACTGAGCAGTCTCCGCAAATTTCCAACCGAAGAGCAGATGAGAGATTCAGACTAAAATGCCTGGTTTGTCGTGGCCACGAAAGCAATTACAAGTACCAGGACTACCTGCACCATGCGGAGCAGTTCGGCTACCACGACTTACAGGAACCACCTATACTCTTTATCGTTATCGAAGTTATAGGCAAACTGACGACGTGGTGTGACCTTATGAGATACAGTGGTAATTACATATAAAATTTCTAGTGTGCACTTCCACGAACAACTTATATTCATTAACAACTTATCCGTATTCACTCCGAAGCTGCTCCAATAAAAAATCGTGGGAAGGCAGTGAATTTTTTAACCCTATAATTTATACATATTTTTTATCACTATAAAAAACACTTAGTCAATCTAGCCATGTCAGGCCTCTCCATAAAAACGGCCGCCTTTTTACGCAATCGTATAGGGTAATCGAAAGTTTAATAGAAAATGGATTCAAGCTTGATTGATTATTAGTTGATTGATTAGTTGTTGTGATGGCGTACACTATTTTATTAAGTTATCGGAATTATGAATTAGTTCTTTTTCAAAGGAACGATCGGAAAATGAGCAAGACCTGCAAAAACACAATAGTAGCTATCCTCGACAATCAGATACCCGTTACTCAGCTAAGTAGTTTCCCGGTACTGTGTCTAAAGATAGAATCTACATGCTTACTACTCCCAACTTTTTGTTTAGCTTGTTGTTTGATCATATTGTCTTCTCTTTGAAATGAAATGTTTTCAATGTTCACAATTTCTAATTTAATATTGTAGAAATTTATGGACTTTTTACACCGAAGTATCTTCAGCCTAAAAAACAGGACAAAACACGTAAGCGGTTCTAAACTGATTTGTTTCAGACTGTTGCAGATTCCAGAGACATATCCCACACTTTTGAAACAGTTTTTTATTTTTTATAGTCGTAGTGAAAAAGGGTATACTAGATTCGTTGAAAAGTATGTACATACATTTAAAGTATGTATGCATATATATTTTTGATCAGGATAAAGAGCCTAGTCGATCTGGCCATGTCCGTCTGCCTGTCCGTCCGTATTAACGTGCAGATGTCAGGAACTATAAAAGCTAGAAAGTTGAGATTAAGCATGCAGATTTCAAATACATAGACAATTTGTCTACATCCAAATACTAATTGCCTAAAAACTTTTTGCCACGAATAGTCTAAGACTCGCAAACGGCCCATAACTGTCACGCCCAAACTTTTAGAAAATTTTTAACGATATTCCAGAAAATGTTGAAATTTCCACTGGCTTAGTAATGGGTATCTGACAGTCGAGGAACTCGACTATAGCATTCTTGTTTGGTTTTATTTTCGTAGTAGTCTGCACAACAATATAACAATCGTACCATTTACAACATTACCAAACTCCTTAAATGGATGAATGGTTTTTGCCTGAATTAAAAACGGAGGCATTTATGAATTAACTTCAAAGATATATATATTAGCTTCAATCTAAACCAATCTTGATTTCTTGTTAAAAGCAATATTATAATATTATATGACTATGGAAACTGTGCAAACTAATGATAATGTTAAGCGACAAGGATAAGATACCCTCTATTTAAAATAAAGATCATATTTTTGTTTTGTCATTTAATAAACACTTTTACATCTATTATTGCAGTTACGACTCGAATCTTTCCAATTTGTTGCTTTTATTTTTTAACAACAGCAACAGGTTTGTTGACCAGTCACCGAGCGTCCAGAGAGGAAATCCCATAGAAACATACAAACAAGGTTCAACGCAATGAGTTAACTTGTAGTCAGTGTTGGAGCGATTTTTCGAAAAGAGTGCGCTTTTAGAAAGTGATTAGAACGAAATGCTTTTTTAATTTTGTTTATAAAAATGTATACATTTATTAAATTAAATTATTATATTACAATAAATGCATTATTGTCAAAAAATATAGCTTAGTTTGAGGAGTTTACCAAGATCATTTTAGTTGGCCACCCTAACAGTGAAGGTATATGGTCAGACGAGAGCAAAGACGCAATGTTTGGGGGAACAAATCTCAATCCATAATCAAGAAAGGAAGCTTTGTGATCAAAAACAAGGAAACTATTATTTCTTTATAATATTTTCAATCAATTCCGCCTAGAAACAGCAGCTATGTATATGATGTATACAGTGGTCTGATCTGGCTCCATCCGACTTACATATACTACCTGCAATATAAAGACTTTAAAGAAGATTTTATGCAGAAACTAGTTTGTGTAGAAACGGACGAATCGACTCTACGGTTGATACTGATCAAGAATATATATACTTTATATGGGCCCAAATGTCTCCTTCACCGCGTTGCAACAT